TTTTTTTTTTTTTTTTTGATAGGAGGATTAGTGAATAGAATGTAGATACTAAAAATTAAATTCAAATTATATAAATGTATAGAAGCCGAAAGAAATTCCGAACGCACGCTGCTATTCGATAACTAATTTAATATATACCCAATGGAATAATATAATTTGAAAATATATGGAATCAGTTTTTAGGAATTGATTTACCTAAGTTTAGGGATATAATTCCAATTATTTATTATTTATTGACATATGGACTTTATTTCATGCACGTTATTATATTAGAGATAAACCTATAATACGTTAAATGTTTGTAACTAGAATAAGATTTAAACTGAATCCACAAATGGCCTATACTGATAGCGCTTGCGTCTCTACAACCCCTCAACAGATAAATGAGTCGGTTTTCAGTAGAGACGCCACAAAGTATACGTGGTAAATCACCGGGCGCACACGAGCAAAGCTTCAGCAAAACGATCAACGATGAAAAGCATTATATTAATAGTTACCTTGGCTTGTACAATAAAGGTAAGTAATTATTTATCTATTTATACAAAGAAACTATATAAACAATTCAATTCATAAAAAAAGAATTATAAACTATTATAGTGTTAAAATTTGTCATGCTTTATTTTTTCTATGCGTGTGAAATATCAGCTTCCACTAAACTTATGTCAACTGACTACTTTTAAATGATCATAACATAAAACTAAAAAAAAGATCTATATCAAAAATACACTCAAAATAAAAATTATGAAACAATTTTTTTTTTTAAAGGTCCAATTTTAAAATAACTTTTTGGTATATATTATCGTAATTTAATATGTATTTATTTTATTGGTTAAAATAAAAAGCATACACACAAACGATTATTTTTAATAAAATCGAACCAACTTAACTTCTATGTCAAGTATATCAAGTTTTAGAATAGCCTAGAAGCCTAGGATATTTTAGAAATCAAACCTAAACTAGTCATTAACATACGCATAGCTAAAAAATGTTTAAATTCAAAAGGACAAATTATCCACAAAACAAAATCTATGGACAAAAAATTTCAAATGTATATGTAAGATGATCCAACGATATTCTTATTAATTAAAATAATAATAAAATAGTAAATGAAAAAAAGATTAATATAAAAAAAATATAACAGTATACTCAATATCATAACATTATCAAACTAAATTTTTTGCATAATTTTTAAAGCAAATTTAATGGAGTATCCAAAATTAATTTCTTTGGCCATTGAAAGATAAAAAACACGATTAATTATATTCTAACATTGCTTAATTTACATATAACGATTGATGAAGATAATATAGTAGCATTACAAACATAAATTATACATGAGATATTTTTATCTCATCATAAAAATTGCTCTTGATTCAAACATTTAATTTTAACATTTTAATATTCAAATTTATTTCAAACAATTTTGATTCATTTATGTCCAAATAATGTGTCTTAAGTTTTATTTTAATCTTTAGTTACTTGTTTTAAACACTAATATTTTGACAATATTTTCAATTTCTAGAGTTTAAAACAACTCCAAATGTGTAAATCTAGCACTTGTGAAATTAAATAGAATTAAATCAATTTAATTATTTTTAGATAAATTTTTCATTTTAATTTTATGAATTTTAGAATATTTAAAAAAAATTATACAAATACATGATTTTTGTATATAATTGAAGAATAGTACAACATTATAAAACATCTAGAGTCAAACAAATAACCATAAAAACAACATTAATTATTTTTAGGTTTTTTTTTTTAAATATTTCTCTTTATATATATAGGATTTTCAATTATGTTCTCTATTTGTATAAATTGCAAAATGCCTTCTATAGTAATTAATAATATAATTAGCAATTTGGCTCAAAGGTACTGCAATCATTTAAAAGCATAAGCAGTTTTTGCTTTACAAATTACTATAAATTAGATGCTTTTCAACTAAATTTTATTGATTTTTATTGCATTTATTATTTCAAAATCTACATCATAAGATTTATTGAGTTAAATTTTTTGAATAAATTAATAATTTTTATTCAATTTGAACAATATTTCAGTTAAAAATATTTTATAATATCCATGTATTTCACGAAAAAAAATTATGAACATAATAAATATTGATAATTATTATTTTGTTAATACATTTAACGTAAGTAATATTGATAAATCGCAAATGTAATTTTAAATGGAAATTAATCAATCAATTGCGTATAATTGTAATTATTTACAACAAATTGTTTTTTGCGCACTTTAAAAAGAAATAATAAAAAATGTAAAATATGTAATTTGATGTTACACTACATAACTGTCCAATAACAACTTGTACTATTTACTATCTAAAACGTTGTTATCTATTCAGAAGTAATCAAGATTTACAGTTAAAATATAACTAAATATTAATATATTGAATTATTTAATAATATAAAATATAAGAATATTATAATATAAAAATTAGTTTAGTCATAAACAATATCGGAATTGAGTAATATAATGAAGACATTTTGAATTCAGTCAGAATATTAATAATTGGAAACAAACAGTAATTAATATGTCATAGAAAGTAAAATTAACAATTTAGTTTCATAATTTAGCGTCAATCTGCAATAAAAATTTAAAAATATAGGAATTTTTTTATATATATATATATATATCCTTTTATTACCTAACAATGGCCATAGCAGTTTCCCTCAAAGAAGGAGGTTTCTTAACCATTTATATTGCGGGACGGTGACGCACGGAAAATAAAAAAATTTAATAGTATAATATATTAATAAATATATATTATATATTTAAAAATTTAAACTATTAATATAATTTCATAGATAGGTATTCAATGAATTTAAGAATTATTTTATTTGTTAGTTTTTTGAATACAATACAACATTCCAAGAGAATGTATTATTCTATCTTATGTGACTAAACAAAAAGGTTCAAATATTTTCACAAGTCCTAATTATTTACCTACATAAAATGTATTACCAATTTTGGAGATACTTTAAATACTTTCGAAGTTTAATAGAGTAGTTGTAATTAAAAAACTAACTTGAAACATTATCCAATACAATATTAAATGTGTTAATTAAAATTTCTATATAATTAGGACTGTGAATTTAATACACTAAAAAATATAAAATAAGCATACCAATGCGCATTAAAATACAATATAAAAATTAATAAAATGTTGATGTTATACACTAAAATGTTTTTTTTTTACTTTTCTATATTAAATTCACACGTTATATTACAATAAAAGGATCACACTAAACTAAAAGCAATAGGTATTTCTAATATCATATATTCATATACACATTTAGAAAACAATTTTGAAAGGGCTATATTTTTCCTTATCCTAAAAATATTTGCATATAATAATAAACATACATTTCTTAACTATGGAGATCATTTGACCAATTTAGAATATTCTAAATTACATTAGAGTTTTTATAATTAACATTTTATTTGGGAAATTACATATAATAATTTCATGTCATTTCTTCCTAATAATAAAAATCCAAATAAAAAAATGCAAAATACTCAAAAATTATATAAATATGCATTTATATGATTTAACCCATAAATATGCAAAAATTTGCAAAAAAAGATTTTAACATTTAAATTACACATAAAATTAAGTAAATTTTGAAAGACCCATTTTCTTATACAATGTAGAAAAAAGACTTTACAAAAGCATTAAATACAGTCTTATTTATACATAATTTTAACATTGTATGATAATAAAACAATATTTTAATTAGGTTTTTAAAAAATACATTAAACTAATTTTATCTATAAAACTATAATAACATGATTATAAAACCAATTAATTTTCAAATATCACAATATAACCATGCATTAAAAAAAATTATTTAAACAAAAGTGACGTTTTAATTAAAAATGATATATTATTTAATTAGCACATTATCTTCAAAGAAAATGTTGACTTTATTTTTTTTAATACATTTCTTACGTTGGTAATGTTATTTAGAAAGACACTGTATGATAATATCTTACGGGACAAAATTCAATTTAAAAATTATAAACTGATTTTATTCATTGAAAAATTGATTTTAAGTTACTGAATCAAATAATCTAATCGGAAACTAATAAAGATTATGTTGACAATAATAGAAGTTTTTCAATTTTTTCAAGATTTTGTGATCATGTATATAAAATCACAAACACGTCAAGATTGTCAAATATTTTTTAATTCATTAAAAAGTTTTGAAAGTTGGATATTGACAGACAAACAATATTAATGATAAGAATAAATATATACGCCAAATATAAAACTTCTCAAATTTTTTTGCTTTATTTATATTATATTAATTTAATAATAACATTTTATAAACAAAATTTCATAATCCACATTTTGAATAATTAATAACAAATTTTTAACTATCAATATTTTGATAAGTTAAATACTTAATTGAACAAATATTCTATGGAGTTTTAAAAATAAAGTTAATTACACATAAAACGCATTATTCACTTTTATGTAATTTAGATTATATTTAAAACTTAAATGGTACTTTTACAACTAGTTGTTAAGATGTGTCATTGATAAATTGTTTAAAATGGCAGATTTAAAGTCTTCTGTCTTCTAATAATGTGTCACACGCAAATAATTTAAAAATTTCGTAATAAGAAACGAATCTCACTAAATATTTTTCGATTAATAAATTATTATTTTTTAATTTCCTGATAAATTTATGGTATTATTTTTATTTTGTTAGGGGCTTGTTATAAATTTCTTTTTTCAGAATTCGTTTGTATAACTCCTGTAAAAAGCTATATACAACACTCAGGAATTGTAATATAGACACGAATTTACTAATATTCAATTAAATATGTTGCCATCAAACAACCTAGTGTAACTGATATATTAAAAAAGGGTTTTAGCTATTTTTAACGTTACTAGCTTTTTAACCTGTCATGGTAAGAGTCTACATGATAAATAGTCAAATTTTTTAGTTAAATGTCGCCATACTAAAAATTACAATACATGGAATTTATAAAAATGTAGATTCATACACTATTTTATTAGCAGTAACACATAAGATATTAAATATTATATTACATTAATTATTTTGTATATTTCAACTTTATTTTTTTATTATTCTAATCCTGATGTCTTATGTATGACTACTACTACACATTAAAATATTACAATAGTTTCTTTTTCTAAAGTGTTTTCATTATTTGTTGTACATTTTATTAGTATTAGTTTTATTTGACATATTTTTTCTTCTATATCATGAAGATTGGGATATTAATTTAAATTTTAAAATGTAACTGTAAAGCTACAAAAATACATATGTAATGAAAACTTTTAAAAAGAAAAAAATGAAAATAAAGAAATTTTACAATAAAATATCAAATTTTAGAAATCTCATAAATGTTTAAATTTCAAATTTTTATTGTAAAGCTTAGTCAAAATTGTTAGCAAATGTGTTTTAGAATCAAATTATTAGACCTATTTTAATTATATTTATCTTGAAAAAACTGTAAACAAATAAAAGTAAAAGAACGTAATTTAATACATTAATGTTAGTTTAAAAATAATTCATATTTTATAAATCGAAAATTATATTAAGAAAAATTTATCATTAAATTAGCTAATACGTGTTCTATTAGATTTCTTATGAATTCCCATTCGATGTAAATAAAAGGAATTTGGCTGCACTCGCTAAAAACGGACAGTTACCGAATCAAAACGGAGAAGAAAAAAGAATAAAGGAAGAGAATAGAGATGTTTATATTACCCAACAAGATCAAAATGTAAAGGTATGTTTTCATAATGACGACTAGCCAACTAAAATATAAAAAATATTATTTTCCATCAGTTGTGTAAGGAAATTTAAAAATTAATTTTAAATTATTTAAATAAATGGTAACTTCTTTACATTGATTAACTTAGTTTAAATAAAATAATGTTAATTTTAATAATTTTATTTTTGAAGGGAATAAAAGGCCAGTTTGGTTTTATTCAAAAGAGACAGTCAATAGAAGAACCTGAAATTCGTGACGAATTTAAGTCAGATCTTAGAACTATTTTAGACGAGTATTTGGAAAAATTTGGTACAACTTATGACCCGGAAAAGGTTGAGTTGTTCCTGACCAATATGGCAGATGAAGTTTTTGACAATCAAGGTGTTGTTTCACTTGATCATATTCGATATTTGATTGAAACGGGTTATTTTCAGCCGGAAATGAGAGAAGAAGATGACATTAAGCCGATTGATTCTGATTCATCGGATTATATTAGCAAACGTTTTCTTGCTTCGTTAGCTCGTACGAATAACATGCCCTCTTGGTTTGACGATCAATCGACTGTAAACAAACGATATATTTCATCGTTGCTCAGACAAGGTAAACTTCCTTTTGTTTTTCAACCAACTACGGCTTCTCCAAGAGGTGATCAATGGATACAAAATATGCAAAAACCTAAAAGGAGCAACAGTGAATCGTTTCAAAGTGCTGAGGAATTTGTGCCTGTCATGCAGGGTAGCAAAACGTTACAGACACTAATCGATGACTTCTTGATGCGAGAACAAAATATGCAAAAGCGGTATTTAGGTAATTAACATTTTTTTTAGCTTTTTCGATGTAAAAAAAACCTTAGTAACTGGTAATTGACGTTAGTAGTTTAAAGAAAAATACTTAGTGTTATGTTTTTTTATGTAGATAATGTAGAAAAATTATTTGTGTGATAATTATGACAAATATATGTATATATATATATATATATATTTGTTTAAAAAAAGATACTAAGAAATAATATTTTATAAATATAAAAGATATTCTAGAGAATGAATTTCTAATTATTTTCTGTAATTAAATAGGGTGTGAATATTTTTTTTAATGTAAAATTAAGTATACATTACTATACATTAAATACTATACATTCTTTAGACAATTGATTATCTTCTTTTAAAACTTTAAGTTAATATAGTTAACTTAAAGTTTAAGTTCTAAATATGAAAAAATATATCATAGTTAATTAATAAGTTGGTTTGTAATCATAGTTATTTAGAGAAAATAAGTAAGTAAAATCTTTTGGTTCAACAAACAATTAATTATATCAAAAGTTAACATATTTGAAGTCTAATTTTAAAATGCGTCAGATTATATATTTTAAGTTTTAAATTTTAAGTACAGTACTTACTTAAAGACAATATACATTTTAAAGTTACATTACGTTTTAGTCTAATGGATATTTGTAATGATTCTGCATTTCACTTACCAAAATAAATTCAATTATATTAAATTTAAATTAATTATGAAAACCTAATTTGGCTAATAAACACATAAAACAATTTTTTATAAAATATTCATTACTAACTCTTAGATTTGTATTTTGGTGATTATATTCAATTATACCATTAAATGTATTTATATTTTATGGCTTAGAAAAACATTGACTTTTACTGTAGATAATAGAACAATACATTTAGTATGTTGTGCATCTTAACGTCTTTAGTAATTTGTAGTTAATTTTATTTTCATAAAAAATTAGTAAGTAGTGTTATAGTTTAATGATATATTTGGTGATCATTGTTTGTGAGTGTAAGTGTTTGTGAATGTTAAATGGTTATGTTTCGTGATAACTAAATGATTGACAGGGGCGCTGGCACGTAGCGGTTGGATGCCCAGGCGATTTACTACATCGTTTCACCCTAACAGTATATACAACAAAAGACACTTGGCAGCTTTGGCCAAGTTGGGCTGGTATAGAAATACTCCATCGTTTTATGTGCGAAACGGTCGAGGTTCTTTTGATTGTAGCAGAAACGACGAAATAACAGAGTAAGATAATAAATCTACTTTGTGGAATTTTTGGTGTTATAAAAATATTATGTCTAATATTTTGAAGTCGCTCCAAATATTTTTAAACTTATAGATTTCTTCAAAATAATGTCTTTTATCAAAGTACTCCTATCAAACTATCACACACTTAACAAAATATTTTCTTTGTTATGCGTCTATTACAGAAAATTAAAACTACATTTTTTTAAGTTTACTATTTTATAAAAATTGATATATTTTTTTCATCTCTTGTGTTTGTTTTGATAACAAATAGACACCAATTTCTTTTATTATAATAAAATACCTATATTTTTTAATTACGTTCTGAAAATCTATGTATCATGTAGATACACAGATTTTTTAAGTTCTAAGACGTATGTAATCCTATTTAAATATTCAAACATGCTACTTCAACTAACTGACAGGTATCCCTGTAGATAGGGGATAAGAATACTTCCACGCAACCTTTGCCAGTTGTTTCTTACGACTGGCAGAGATTGCAGCAAGTCAACAGCCGGTGTAAAATTTTGTCAAAAAGTATGTGAAGTCCTGAATAGAGCTTAGGTAAATCGTCCCATCTCGACTGTACGCAGGGACAACATGTGAGAGGAAATAAAGTAGTTAGAGGATGAGGAGGACTAAAGTATAAAGTCTTTTATACCAGTCGTACAACTTCTACAGTAGCTGTTTCACCAGTCATGTGTACAGGCCTACTAAATGCTTATAGTGTCAACAGTTTAGGAAAATCATCATTCAAGTCTTGGCTGAACTCGTGTATAAGGGTGAAAGATAGATAAAAAATAATAATAGGTAAGGAATGTTGTGATATTAACTGGTAGATATAAAAAATTAGTAGAAGTATTGAAGGAGAGAAAAGTTAATATTTGTTGTGTGCAGAGAACTAAGGAAATAGGTGAAGATTATAAAAGAATAAACCAATACAAAGAATTACAAAGGGACAATAATGAACGAGGGGATAAAAAGTAAAGTAGTAGAAGTAGATAGGAAAATTGATAAAATTATAATCGTAAAATTAATTTTCGAGGAAGAAGTGTGGAATGTAGTAAGTGCCTATGTGAAATGTGATGAAATAGACAGTGTTTTGAAAAGAGATAGATGAAGTGATGCATTAAATATCTGATAATGAGGATGCGGTGATTGGTGGAGATATAAATGGACATGTCCGTAAAGAGAGGAAAATATACGAAAGAGTACATGGATGATATGATTTTAGTGAGAATAATAAGGCTGGAAAAAGAATCCTGAATTTTGCAATATTGTATGATCTTGATGTGGTTAATACTCTTTTAAAAAGAGGGAAGAACATTATATAACTTATAAGAGTCGAAGTAATAAATCATAGATTGATTATTTTATATGGAAGAGAGGGAGTGTAAAACTAGTAAAAGATTATAACATTATCCCAGTTGAAAGTGTAACTATATAACATAGATTGATGGTAATGGAGTTGTGGTGTAGTGGGAAGAGAGTATACAAAAACAGAAAGAACATAGGTGGAGAATCGAGGTTCCTGTGCAAAAATTATAAGAAGAAAAAAGAGAGGAAGGTGTCAACTGACGAGAGGTACATAAATGATGCGTGGAATAGATTTGATAGTTGTGTAATAAATACTACAAAGGAGATTGTTGGTGAGAGTAGCAGTAGAATGCCAGGAAACAAGGAAACCTAGTTGTCAGATGAGGACGTTTAAATATTCTTAGAGAGTAAGAAAAAACAGTTCAAATCATGGTACAAGAACAAAAGGAAAGAAAATAGGATTGATACAAACGCTTGTACAAGAATTTTTATACATATTATTTCTGAACAAAAATATATCACGGGGCGGGTGTTTTATTGCGTAAAGTTTTTAATAATATAACTATTTTATTTTGACCAACACATGAAAGACTTTCATTACTTATACACCATGTTTCACGTTATACACAACAGTCCATTGTAAAATATAATAATTTAAAAAATAATTTTTATTAAGAGAGAATATACGTCAATCGTGGATAAAATAAGAGAAAATAGACTTAGAAGGTTAGCCATGTTGTGAGAAGAGAGAATCGGAAGCTGTAAGAATAGTTATAGAAATGAATGATAAAGGAAAAAGAAATAGAGGAAAAACAAAAAAAAAAAAAAATGGAGGGATGTTTTTGATATCGAATGCGATATGAGGACGACTGTTGTGTGCGTAGATGATCGTTCGTGTCAAGTGAAAGTTTAAGATAAGATTTTATTTTCTACTCCTACCGTTCACAAATATTAAGTTGTTGAGGATGTAAGCCAGTGAAGCTGAAACCTATACCTGTTGTATGGTTCAGAGTGTTGGGCTGTTGGCAAGTAAATAGAACTATGAATGAGTGTAGCAAAGATAGATATAGTTGGATAGATAAATGAGTGGTAATGAGAGAAGATAGGATAAGGAATGAATATGTAAGAGGAAGTATAGAAGTAGTGTCAAGCATAGATAAGTTAAGCGAAAATAGGTTAGATTCACCATCTAAGCCATGATTTAACCAATCGTTTTGTGAGGATAGAGAAATTGTAAATTTTAAGAATGGTTATAGAAATAAATGTTGAAGGAAGTAGAGTTAGAGAAAGAATGAAAAAGAGATGGCTGGGTGCTGTTGAGAGTGATATGAGAATACCTTGTACGTGTATAGATTATATGGGAGATTATGTCAAGTGAATATTTAGGATAAGGGTGGCTGATCTCAAATAGCTAGGATAATGGCAAGAAAAAAGAATTTATTAATTAATGAATCATGAAGAATTGTATAGCTCGTTTTTAATGTCTTATAGGGATAGAAATTTAATTTTTTTTAATAAGAACCTTATGAAAATTATTGTGAAATGTACGGCAAATTTAATCATTTTTAGCGATTTATTTTATTATTCATAAACATTTTTTAAAAAATATATAAATTTTCCAACTTTATATAAATAATACCTAATCTTAATACATAGTATCCTATTTATGACTGCATTTACGAGGCCTTAATCATCATCCTGATTGATCATGTTCTAACTAATTTCCTAGGCTTCTCTCCTTATAACCTTCAATTCCTTCCTTAGCCATTATTAGCTACGATGTGAAGGTATTAATTTTACTATGATGTGTTTTTTTTTGTGTCTGTTACTACTTTTTTCAGCTCTCACAGAACCGATTTCTTTCAACGTTACGTCAAAAGATCACAAATCGAATTTAGCCAAAGACATTATCCTCGTTCCCCGTAAATGGGGAAAATTTGCAAAAAAATTACAAATTTAAAAATCGCTAATTTTCGAAATTTTTTCAAATTTTTTTACTTAAAAATGCTATAACTTTTCAAAAATTAACAAATCAATATAGTTTTTTTTTATAGATGCATAATGTCTTTACCTATCATTTGATGTATTTCTTTATAAATTTGAACCTCAACTTGCCCAGAAGGGGGGATTAATAATGACGAATTTTTAAACTTAACTTTTTAAAGTGTTCCGGAAATACTGATACTTTTATATATACCTTAAATTAAAGCTTATGAAATGTACTAAATGTAAAAAAAAATTTGGACTTTATTTTGTCTTCACGGTGAAAATAGTTACCGAATGCTATTTTTGTGTGAAAATTCTCGATTTTATATTTAAATTTTTTAACTTTATAATGCTATAACTTATTGAAAAGTGTATGGATCTATACAATTTTTATATGAGAAATCATATTTATATCCTTCTTTCGTTCGACATACTTTTTTTTTAAATAAAAAAATTTCCCTTTATATATTTACATATTATATATCATATATTACACTTATAAATTATAAAACTTGTAATCAGGATATAAATAAGAAAATAGGAGATCATGTAGCTTTTGGAATAATCCACCAATTTTATAAAATTAATCACTATCTACAGATTTGCATCGAAGCCTTTTTTATGATAGTGATTTTAATCATTGTCAAATATCATTATACTTGACCCAACAATGCCACATCCCCACTGTGCCGTGTTTTAATAATTTATTATTTTACTATATTTCTACAAACTTTCTCAACTATTGCCTAACTTTTACTGACGGGTCTGCCTTATTATCCAAAACTGTCTGTACTTATTACATACCAACTCCTAATATTTCGTTTTCTACTAACCTGCATCACCTATCGTCCTCCTTAACTACCATATGCATTGCTATTGTCAATGCACTTTTCTATATTTCTGTTTCTCTAGATACCTCTTTTCTCATCTGCTCAGATTTTTAGGCTTGTCTCCAGTCTATTAATTCTAACCCTTTTGATTCTTAAACGTCCCCTATTATCCTTTCAATTAAAACACTCTTCCACAAAATTTTAACTTCTGATAAAGAAGTTCAATTCCATTGGGACCCTAGCCAAATCGGGATCCGTAGTAACGAGTTCGCTAATTCTAATATGCATCATCATTCCTATGTTATCTTTATTCTGATGCTCTGTATTACTTTATATCTACCCTGATGGAAGCATGGCTCACCAAGTGGTCTTCTCTCCCTAACAGTTTTGCCCAATATCATTGATCCATCGTACCTAGCCCTTCCAAAATTCCGTGGTTTTATCAACTAGATCTTACTCGCAATATAATTTCTAGCTTTTCACGACTCAAACGAGGTCATAACCTTTTACCAGCATTCGCTTACAAATTAAACCTGAACTCAGTTCCTATTTGCCATTTACATGAGGATGAAGTCATCGGAGATTTTCCGCGCTATTTATTGATTTGCTCCTCCTTGGCGTTTAATAGGTGACTGCTTATAAAGTTTTAAGAATCCAATGAAATTTCTAATTTTGTTCTCTCTGTTGTAATAAATTCCTATTCTATTCCCGTGATTACTGCCATCATTTCTTTTATATAGAGCGTTGGTTGTATTATTTAACTACTTTATTTTGTATTATAATTTATTGTACATAATTTACTTTTGTTATACTAATTAACACTATTTATTCCTGTAATTCGTAACGCTAATTAATAATATATTATCT